CGAGCACCCGTCGCTGCCGGTTCCCCATGCGCAGGAGCAGCTGCCCCCGGCCGGGTTTGCTGGAGCCCTGGGGTTTCATGAGCTCGGCTCTTAGGAGAGCCTCCGCGGCTCCCACTAACACCAGTCTGGGCCAGCACAAAACCCTTTGCAGTGGAGCATCCTTGAGAACTTGGCTTGGGAGGTTTGGGATGAGGATCACCCCTGTGAGCCAAAGTGCAGGTGAACAGGGTGGGAGCAATGTGGGGGTCCCACGATGACGCCCTGGGAAGCTTTTCCTCCTTTCCACAGAATCTGTTCTAAAAGACGGGATGGGCACTGCTGCTCCCCACAGCTACTCACTTGCACTGAGCCCTGGGAGCTACTGCCTCTCCTCTGGGCTGCGCTGGGCACCCCGCACCCCAAAAATACCCAGTTTTTCCAATTCATGGCCAGACACCCCGCTCTCCCTGCAAACCTCCTGCCATGGGGCCCTTCCCGATGGAAGGGTGCTGGTCTCTCTTGAGGGCTGAGCCCACAGCAGCCACGGGGGCACAGCAAAGCTCTTTATCAACCATCACATCCTCTAGCACAGCGCATCGTCTCACACCGAGGGGACGGGGACCAAATCGCTGTGGCAGGAGCAGCAGCCCCGGGCCACCCGAGGACACGCATCCTCGCACGACTCCGAGCCCGCCTGCTCCACTCGCTGCCTTTTTTAAGCAATTGCTCTTGCATTTTCTCTATCAATTAATAGATCAGAAGGTTTCAGTGCTTTCCAAAAGCTGAAACCTCGGGGGTTTTCTGCACACTCACTGAATACCTGAATGTGCAAGAGAAAAGTCCAGTTTTCCACAAACACATTATTCACTAGAAAGAAGGGAAAAAAGCCATCGTCATCCAACTCTACCAGTCCCCCAGAAATGCTGAGAAGATGGCTAGCATTCAGTCTCATTTCTCCTAGAAAATGCAGTTCCTAACTCGAGACCAGAGGGAGATGTCTCCTCTGCTTGATATCTGCCACTGTAACACTCTCCTGATGTCCAGCCCTACACCACAGCCTGCCTGGTTTGGCCACAGTTCTCCTGAACCTCAGCTCTTGCGCAGGAGGGCCCTCAAGAGACCACCATGTCCACCCACCCACCCCAAGGCTGGGGAATGCGATGCCACCAGCAATAACCCCTGCTTCATCTGGATACAGGGGATATAGGAGCCCTTTTGTCTCTGTTGCTTTTTAACCCGGTAGTAAAGCATTAACTGGGGGGAAAGCGGGCGCTGGGGAGCCTTACCCGATGATGTACGCCAGGACGATGAGCTGGATCAGCCGGAAGGTCAGTCCCACCTTCTTGTTCCTCACCAGCACCATCCTGGGGGTGTCATACTCGAAGAGGAAGGAGGACACCTTCTCCATGCACTTCTGCCCCATGGCTGTGCCAGGGCTGTGCCGCAGCCTCCTGCCCGCCCTGCTGCTCGCCGTGCCGTGGGCTGGACCGTGCCCACC